GACCTCTTGTTGATGTGAGGATGTCTTGTTACTGGAAAAACTGAAAATAACTCTCTAGCAATTCTGTTGACATGGCTGCATTTTAGCTGCTAATGTTTTCATTAAGTGTTTTTATTCGTTTTCAAAACTGATCAATGACAACTGTCTTTGAAATTTGATTAACTGTAACAGACAACCTCTTAGTATGTTTAGTGTTGAATACAGCATTGTTCTCTTGAATAGTCAAAGAATGATGAAAGATTCAATAGAGAGCCTATGATGTTAAAAGTTTGTTGAGATCTTTACAATGTCAAATCTGCCAACAATCATATCATTAAGAGTAAAATTGTAATAATTCACGCTATGTCTAATCATGCCTCTCTTTCATGTAACGAAATTATGTAATCTCATCAATTCAACCTATTCATTGAGCTCAACCATTAACAGTATTAACATTCCAATGCAGTTAGTATCACCTAGTCTGGTACAATCAGACTGAACTTTGCTATCTTTATCAGCTCGCTTCATTTAATCTGGACATAATGGTCAGTGCTCCTTTTTTTCTATTTGTCATGTCATCACTTATGATATACTTCCTCATTTGAAAAGTTCATTAGCTGCTATTGATAAGATCTCGGTCAAGCTCGAAGTTGGTAGACCTAATAATCATATAAACGGTTATAAACCGAGTTATTGTAATGGTATAAAAAATTCTCATTCTTCATCATTGGGTGCTTTTTTACCTCTGTTAAGCACCTCCCTTCTGTAAGCAACCAATTTTGAGCATTCCCCTGACCGCTTGCTTAATAGTAATACATATTTGCATGTACTTTGTTATCCATTTTCACCAGAAAGACGCTATTGAACAATTAAACTGCATATTCATAGCAGCCTATAACTATTTGGTTAGATGATGTGAGACTACTGTTTTTTCCAGAATAAATTTCATGATTTATGATATTGTAAAATCTTTCATGTTTGTTGTTGAAATTAATGTCTTTATACCTCTATTGATTTTTAATTGATAATGCATGAACAGTCAAAAGAATTTGCCTTAATCACATAGAACTAAAAAGTTGTGATTTTGTCAAAAGAGAAAACCAGATTAAAAGCAGAAATAAAAGAGAATCCTGGGAAATGGGGAAAAATAAATGAGAATAAAATTGTAAAGTAGAGAAAGAATTTAAACAAATATTCGTAATAGCCTACAATAATCTTTTTTTCTCGATTTTGTGACTTATTTCATGAAAGTTATTGTACAAAGTTGTTTTATCTGCAGCCTAATGTACAGCTTGTGCAAAAAACAACCTATAAGCTTTCAGCTTCATTACAGCTGAAATGAGGAATTCATCTAAATGCATAATCTGATAACCTGTGAACTGATAGACTTCTAGTCCATGTCTTAAGCTGTTTGCTAAGTTTACGTTCCACTACACTTGCACAAGAATGTTGGAAAGGGTTGCTATTGAATCAGGTTGTACTCTTGTAGAATAGCTAGTGCTGCTCTTTAACTGGGTTCATCAACCTGGACAGAGTACTTCATATTCCAAAAGATTATATGACAAGTAATTAATAGATGTAGTGGAACTTGGAAACTCTGCTGGGTTACTTTTAGTTGGAAAACAAAGAGAGTTCAGAATTCAGAACACCCATTCAGAACTCATTCATTAATTTCCTTTAGTTCCTATTTAGTTACTGAATTTTCCGTAGTGACTTGATCAAATTTCACCATTTTCAAATGTACAAAATACCAACAATACTGAGCTGTAAAAACTGATGAGAAACTTTGACTCTTGATTGAAAACATCATCACCATTGTTTATCTTACAACATGTTAGTCTTACTTTACTATTAGTTGTATGGTTTCTTTCTTTTTCTTCACATTTTTTTTTGTTATTTTAAAGAAAAATAGTGTTCAGTTTGTCAGCAGTTCAGCCATTCTTTTCTCTGCTGACCTTTTCTGATATTATTTTTAGTAGAATTAGCTCTACAGTAAAAAAAATGTGATAATTTCTGTTGTTTGACCTTTCTTCTGTTATTTTCCTGAAGAATATAATTGTACTGACTGTGAAATGTTTATTTTTGAGTTTTTAGGCCTACTGCTTTTCTCAGCTTGGTACATAATTATGCGATTTTTTAACTAACCTTTACTCGGAATGTGTGAAAAATTAAACTTGTTGGCACTTTAAAAGGATAAAAAAACAAAATCATCAATTTAATGGATTTATCTGAATAGCTCAATCATATTATGGCTATGTATGATTTTCCTCTTTATTTAGATGACCGAGTATTAAGATCAAAATGGTTGTAAACAAAACTGTACCCCTGTGCCAGTGCTTTCCTTTGAATAGTAATAAAAATCTGTACAAGCAAGACATTTCCGTGGATCAAAAATCTTGTTCAAAGAATGGCAAACTTGGGAACAAAGGTTGTAAAATAGTGGACTCCTTCAAAGAGTGTTTTGAAAAGAGTAAGCATGGTATGCATCACATGTGACAACCACAACTACTATAATGGTCAAAATCTTAAGATAAAACTTGATCAATTTAGGTCTGACCAAACAAATCAGAAACTTGTTATTTCATAATCACCCTGGTCTCAAAAGAGCAGTGGGAACAGAACAAATATATTTTAGAATTAAAGACGTTCATATGAAATCTTTTCTCATACAAGTAGACGTTGAAAATGTTCCTGATGAATATAAAAAAGACCTGAAAGTTCCCTTAGACTAAATTTTTATGATAGATAATCAATTTATATTAAGTGTTTTTTTGACTGAGAGTCTATTTCTTATATCATGAAGAAAATTGATCTTTCAGAGAAATATTTATGATCAAAATATCTAGCCTGGATCAATTTAATTTGTTGGCATGAGTTTATCTCAATCATTGATAGCTGTTAGGTTAAAAAATAGATATCAAGTGCATTCCATAGTCATTTAACATTACAAAAAATATTTTACATCTTACTTTTGATTTTATAAACATTACACTGAAAAGATGCCAATCAAAACTTGTACAGCTTTAGGATGAAATTTTATAGTGATATTGATCACAAGCCTATTACCTTTCAAATTTTATAAGTTTAGATAACTGGTCCAAACCTCCAATTTTTTAAAGAAGCTCATGAAGTTGTCCATCCACTTATTACAACTAAATTGTACAAGGAGCTTGTCTATAAAATGCACCAGAAAAGAGGCACCCCCACCCTCCTTTAAATATATTTTTAATCATTTTACATAGTGAAAGAATGACCTATCGCCTCCCTGGAAAATTCTGTAGCCCCTGCTCGGCCCTGTCACATAATGTTTCCTAAAAACACCCCTGGTCTTGAATTGACCCACCAATTTTTTGTTGTTGTTGGAAAAGGGAGTTTCGGAATCAGAAATTAGATAGCTCCTTCAGGAATCCAGACAGTCATTCAATGATCTAGACAAAATCAAGCTCTAGATTTCACAGTTTAAAAAAACAGACTGCTATAAAAATTTACTAAAACTTTGAGAAAGTAATCAATTTAGATTTCATTTACACTCCAACATAGAAAAACATAGATAGCGATATCAACAGTACTATCGGCTGCTCGGTAGGAGATAATTTTAAACTGATGACTAAATTACTTCATATCAGTTTGATTTACTAGGTCTCTATATTCGACAGGTTATTCTGACACAATATACCAAGATGTAATTATTTTCATTAGAGTTCCTGCAGTTAACTTACATTTCATTTCAGATGTTTTCCATTTCTAGAAATTTTAAATCATTACCAAGGTTTTGTAGTGCAAGTAATTACCTAATCTCTGCATGCTACACAGTTTCAGCATTGAATAATATAAGTTGCTAAAAGTCTTGGAATCAATTCAAACATTTTAACTTATAAAAAGCACCAGGGATCTTGATTTGATGTATAGTTGCCAGTCATCTTAGAGAGTTTTTGTGACATGATTGACTGTTTTTATGAAATTAACTACTCTCTGCTTTTGGACATGAATAGCTACATTATATGAAGCAATTAACTATTCTCTGCATGCCATTAAAGATGGGTTTCCTTACTCTTTAGTGTCAAATTAAGCAAACTATTTGATTAATTGGTATTTCTAATGAATTATCAT